GGCAGAACCCGAAGCATGCCAATGCGCGGGTGGCGCTCGGATGGCGCCCGCTCGTGGCCGGGACCCCCTAACCAAGTCGGCATCCAGGACGATGCCGTGTTGCGCACGCGGCTGAAGTCGGCAGAACGGGAGAGGTTTCACCACGTCGTAGAGGCGGAGAGTGAGGAGCCGCTTATGAAGAGATTCGACCATGTGGTACTAGTACTATCGAATCTCAGCAGGAGTGGGAAGAGTGTATCAGAGTATCAGGAGGGGTTGGAGGGCCCAGCAGACCGCGTTGAATCCGACTCGTTCATTGTGCAGAGATAGAGTTTTTCGCTGTGTGGATGGAAAAACAAGAACAGTAGGAGTGAATAGAGTTGTGGACGAGAGGATTGTGGGTGTCACCCCTGTACATTCACATATTGTAAGTGTACACTGGTACAGTCGCACGTGCTGTACCACAGTACACACGCATCGAGGATGACGGTTTAAGTCCGAACTCCGTCGACTGCCTTGGAAGGGACATTCATGGCTTTCTGTTAGCGAGGTGGACAGTCTAAGGACACCCCTATTCAATGAGCTTATGACTCTGGTGTTAGTAGTACTCGATGTCGACTCGTCAGAGCTGCTCTATGAGGTCGCAACTTGCTTGTTGCAATGAGGATCTATGATCTGTGCATGGGCCGGGAAGAAGGTACCCCTGTGTATTGTAGCTAGCTACACTACTGTGTTGGTGAATATGGAACTTGCCGGGGAGCATGGCTGCTCGAGTTCCATCTCACTCGCTCACCGTGTCAATCCGTCTTTCATTTCACCGGGTGACCCATCTCTCATTCTTCGGTCTGCCGAGTCGTGTGCCGTCCCAAGCCATCCAGTTCCTCCAGGACCTCCACCTCCTCCCCGAAGAGAACCCCCCAAAGAACGCAACTGGGGGACTGCGTGACAAGAAAGACTGTTGATGCTCAAACTTGCCCACCGAAATTTCCGAACGATCCCACCGTCGAACCGCAGCAGAAGCTGGAGAGTGGAGATTCAATTCCCCCCCGTCCGGGGCCCCGACAGGATTGGGTCCCACCTCTCCCAACCGTCCCAAGTCCGACTGCCCTCTTTTGTGTACACGGAATGCCTTTCTGTCCCTCTGCCCCCCTCTCGACCGGGCCAATGAAGCCGAATCTCTGGACTCTGACCCGAGACGGGCCGGCATGCCTTCCTGACTGGGTCGGCAACTGTATACGTCTTTCTGTTCCCTTTTCTCTCTGCCTCCTCGGCCTCGTTGCGAGAATTTTTCCTACTGGCTCGCACGGAGTGAGTGGCCGATTGTTGCCGATAATAGAGGTCCACTCTTCGGCCTGGAGCTGGAGATACTCCCGTTACGCCGTAGGCTACTGGGTTGCTTTTCCTCTTTTTCTGGGTTTATCTGAATATTCTTGAATCTTCTCTGCAGGGGGGCTCTACAGTCTACAGTCTACATTCTACATACTTACATAGCACATTGTCTTTCCCGTGGGTGACCAAAAGAACCATATTGAATGACAATAATTCAGAAAGACAAAAGGTGGGGAAAGTATTGAACCCCCGAACATTGCGCCTGGAAGAAGGGGGAAAGAGTTTTTGAAGTTTTCTCCATCCTCCACTCATGTACTGGATGTGTGTCACCCACATGGAGCTGGTTCGCTTTTTCTTTGCACGCAGTCTTGTCTACGTGCGAAATATGTAGACAAAACCCACCTAGCACCCTGTAAATACTCTATAGTTCAAGCAACTTGCGTGACTCCAAGAGCTTTACCCAAGTGAAGTTCACTTGTCGCCTAAGCGGTAAATTACACCTCCGGCTGACGCTTGTGGCGGATTCCGATCCGAGGGTTGGCGCCTTTCCGTCCCAGCGCCAACCCGGCTCCAGCCGCCTTGGGAGAGGCTTTTTTTTCCTTTTTCCTCCCCCCCCCCCCCCCCCCCATCTACTGTACATACGGTACCAGACTACCAGTACCTGTATAGCTCGCCTCGTGGTTTCTGTTCCAGGTATGACTGAGTAGATGGTGGAGCACATTGCCGAGTGGCTCGCTACAAGTACAATATTCTTGGCTGGAGGTATTTTGGAACGAACTTTGAATATGGACCCAGTGTATGGACGGACTGGATAGTTGTACACCACTGCTTCTTATCTCTCCGCCTTCGGATTCCAGAAGATTTGACACTGAGACGGACGAATTGGGAGCTTTTCAGTACTGCAATCAGCGGATACTGTACTACTGTAGTGAAGTGCATACTACCCATGTATGTACTTTATATAGTATGTACGAGATGACATCATTGGTAGGTTAGGGTTTCGCCGGGATACCTACCTTATCCAGTTTGAATAGGCCAGGTTCCGAGTCTGCTGGCTGCAGTGATTCGAGAGGCGTAGAGCGCTTGCGAGATGTGGGGGAGCCTGTAGCCTGTGTACTTCCCAAGTTCACCCAAGCCCATGCATGACATGACTACTTACCTGAGAAGACTCTCTCCCATCTGTGCAAGTGCCTGGGGATCGTTTATCAGTACAGATCTGATAACGCGTGGCGGATGGGTTTTTGCTAGAAACTTGTTCATACTGAGGATGTTGAAGCTCTCGGTCACACTCTGAATTACCCCTCTGGGTGAGTGTTTGACCGTGCACAGGTGTCGAGTCGGTGACCTCAGACCTCACTGCAGTCTACCCTTTACACTTTGCACAGTACGCAATATTTACATGGATGGTCTAAGAGACAGCTCCGGGGTCCTTTCCCCGGAAATCTGAAGACTCGCGCGTGGAGCCGATGCGGGAAAATCTTTTCTAGAACATCGTGGACATGGGGGGGGGGGGGTCCATGTGCTGGCAGAGAGACAGATCTGAACCCGCTCTTTGACCTCATACTATGTCATTTCATGTGCGCTATGTATCCAACTCGACCTTTGCCAACCCTCTCACGCATCATCAGGACAGGTAGACACGGCCATTTTTTCAACCCTCTTTTCAAGGTTCGGCGTTCGTCAGTGACTTGGTGAGATGGGTTTCCTCTGATGTCATGGTGTCGAGAGTCGGTCCAGAACTCTTGAAATTTTTCCAATTGTACTCTCGTGTGTCCGAGAACCATGTCCGGGATGCTAGGTGAGAAGTGAATGAAAATCCGGTTGACTGTAGCTAGGGTTTCCCATGGGCTTCCAATTCATGGCCCTTGAGCAGGTCCTTTGTTCGCAGTAAACAACTTCGCCCGGCCCGTCTGATGGACCACCTTATGGGTTCTAGCACGGAGTATGCGGTAATGCCCGAGCAATGTCGATGCCATTGACTGGACAACCATTTTGGACATTAGACGGTGACACTACCCAGGGCTGTCCTGCATTGGGTGGTGCTATTAACATCAATTGTTCAACCCGTCTCCATCAAGATAGGACGTAGCAGCTCGGGCGTGTTGATCTTCGACTATCTACCTAGCAGAAGATACTGTATCTGAGATCCTCCACTGTAGACATGGTTCCTCTGGTAGGCTAGTGATTCCATGTCTTTTCCCCGGTGGTCATTTCGAGGGGACTGGACCAGATGGGTGAGTGGCGAAAGAATAACGTTCCACCTAGTACGTCTTCCGGATCGACAGCGCGGTGGAGTCTGGGGTAATGCCTCTCTGGTGGGCGTTTGGATTCCAGCGCATGGCATGGATGGATGTTGATTGGAAAACTTCCGGTGATGCGATCATCCAGGAGGGGTCAGAGCACGGGCAGTTTGCGGGGAAGCTTACATGGAGAGTTGCGCACATCATTTATTCCCAGTGCCCACTTGAAATTGATGCCTGTTGGTGCCAAGCGTGCACGTACCTCACGTACGTGTTTTGGGCGGTGATGTCGCGTTTTTTCGTCATCAGAGTTCCATGACGTGCGTCGGATTGATGGCAGGTCACCTAGCATCGACCTCGCTCAGACGGGAGTGGCCAGGTCACAATGATGAGTTTCGAGAACCTACAATCTAAAAGATAATGCATTGTAAAGTGACGGGTGTGGGGACGAGCTGCTCGACGTGGTCGGAAAGCGGTTTACGTCCATGTTCTTGAAGGCTGGATTGATACCTCCTGCGGAATAGTTGAGAGAGTTCCAGTTGACCTGTGTGCGTCTTGCGACTTTAGCTCTCTACTACCCACGGTGGGTAGCTCGTAGGTAGTCGTTTAGGGCTGTTCTATTTACTGCAGACGAGCGGGACACACATGTGGACGGGGCATCCATGTGTGTCACAATATATATTATATAACAAATCCGTGCCGAAAACGGGCTTTATCCATGGCCTTTAGTTGGTAGGATACCCGCAAAGAATCAATAGGCCGCATCGAACATGTTGAAGGTGGGAGATAGGAAACCCGAGTAATTCAGATGCATTTCCAATGCTGCTCGAAGTTGACCTAAACAGCCGAGATAGAACGTCTTGTTCCAGAAGTATTAATGATCTCATTGGTACACAAATACACACTGAGTGGCGTTCCGTGCAGGTTGAGGCCCACAACCGGCACATTCTTTGTTCTTGGGTAATATCATCAAAGTTCCAACAATCATACATCAACTGGCAACTTGGCCGAGTGGTCTATGGCGCATGACTCAAGAGTTCCTCTTACCCAGTGCACAACACTAGGGAGCATTCATGTCTTCGAAAGGGGGCGAGGGTTCGAATCCCTCAGTTGTCATTTTTGAACATTTTTTTTTTTGCATCCGCCACATACCTCATGCCGCAGTCCCTAGACTGATTCCAAGATAAATCAATCCTTGCATTCTTGAAAAATCGAGCCTTTTCAAAGACATGAGAAGTAGACAGACTACTTTCTAGAAGGGTCAACCGGCTATTTACCCGGTCACTGGTGTTGTAGTTACCTTGCAACCATTAAGGGTGGACCGTCCCGCTGGAATGAGACAAGACTACCCCAGTGCGCATTCATCCCTTTGATGATAGATTAGGAATGGAGCGCTCTAGCTTGCTTTCGGGAATATATCCCAAATAAAACTTACATAATACATCAAGAACGGGCAACTTGGCCGAGTGGTCTATGGCGCATGACTCAAGGATCGTCCTTACCCGGTGAACAACACCGGGGAGCATTCATGTCTTCGAAAGGGGGCGAGGGTTCGAATCCCTCAGTTGTCAAATTTTTGAAGACTTCCTTTTTTCGCTACAACCATGTTTCCAGCCTGCCGGTCGAGCTGCTACCTACCCTTTAGCTATCCATATGCATGTTTTTCCATGTGTGGTTTTTTCTCCTCTATTACGAAGTCCCCTTGGAAATCTCAAGGTTTTGTACTACTACTTGGTCAACCATCAGCATCGTAAGCAGCGTTATTATAATCATGTCCTGACCCCAATGTGTCGATGCATGTCACATGTCGGCTATTAGCATTTTCTCCCTATTTGTTCCTCAAGCTGTCTATTGCGACGTTCATAGCAAAGTTTATACGCCCTCTCCCAGCGATTCCTTTGACGCCGACGTCACCGATAATGCTCGAATTCCCAGAAAGAAAATACAACAGTGCCATAGCTCATCAAACATCAAACATACGTCCATACCCTTGACATGACTTAGTCAGTGGACGAAGTGACAGATAGTTCAAGTCATTGCGACACCTTGCATGAGAATTCATCACCTCTCGCGGGATGCAATAACAGGGCATAAGACTATGAGCAGAACATAAAAGATCTCTATACAAGGCCGCGCTAGTCAATGTACAATGATCAGACATGGATGTACAGCGACTCGATCCAAATTTCGCCCTGCACTTGATCGGAGACAGCATCGACGTGATTGTTGACACCACACCCCCTCACCGCTCCAAAGTCCATTCTGCAAGCCCAGACCAGGACATTCCTACTCGACCAACCTGTGACTTGTACTCCTCCGCGGTCAGACCACGGCAGTCATGTCGATCACCAAGGGTGTTCAAGACTATCAAACTGATTTTCTGACCCGGGGCGCCGAGTTGTCGCGCATCTCCAATATCAAGATACCACGCCTCACCACCCCCACCGGGACCATTGCCGGGGACATGGTTGAATACGAAGCGCTCATCTTTACGCCCATCCACACCATGAACCTCGAGTAAGAACAGACCGGGTTTCTGTCGGCTATGCCGGGCTAACGTCCAGTGCTCACACAGCAAACCGAATTGGAAGCGGATGGGACCAGGTGTATTCGATATTGAAATGGCTCCCTCAGCGGGTAAGATCGTCTTGCGGCCAATGCTATGTTCCGAGAGACCAGACCAAACTTTAAGCGGTTTCCCACCCTGCGGTGAATCTGGATTCGTGGTGATATATTCCTCCCAGCTGACCTGTCGACCGTCGCTCCGGAAAAAGTGGTCCCTGTTGCTCGGGAAATGCTTCAGGCCGAACTCCTCGTTGGAAATTGTGAACATATACGGTTCGAAGCGTTTGATGTACGGCTGTCCAGGCCCTTGAACTGCTCCCGCTCCCCAACACGCGTCAATAAGCTTCCATTGACCTCCGTCGATTTTGACTGCATTCCATGCATGACCCGACGGATTGTACGGAGGGACCGGTTGCCCGGGAGCTAGATCCTCGTGACCAAAGCCTTTGCCATGTCCACCCACGACAATGGCTTCGAGCCCCGCCTTGGTAGCCAACAAGGCAAAAAGCGTGGCGTAGCCCTCGCACACAGCCAAGCCACTGGCAAATGTGCTGGCCGGGGTCGAGGGCTGTACATCGTTGTTGAAAAACGCTACCACATCGTACTCAATATTATGGTGAAGCCATGTGAAGATCGCTCGCGCTTTGTCAGTGAGACAAGGAAACGGGGCAGTCAGCTCATTTGCGAGCCAGCCAATATCCTGCGTGGGCAGCGATTGCCGCGGGTATCGCGCAGCCCGAGCATCGGGCCCGGAAAAGTCATGACAGATCAGACATTCCGTGCTTGGGTCGCCCAGGGGAGCGGTTGCTCCAGGCAGAGAGCCGTGGAAGCGTGGCTTGGTGGCATTCAATTTCGCAAGATCTGGCCGTGATCCAGTGGGCACAGGAGGCGGAGGGCCGCCGGCGGACCCCTTCGCCGTGGGAGTGCTATTCAGCCGCGCAGGGACACTGGGACGCTTCGTCAATCCTCCGAAGCCGAGGGTGCGGGCATCAGCAAGATTGTTCACGTCGGAAGGGGGTGGCAATCGTCGGCTCGGTAGACTGGGTCTGGCTTCCTCAGCGTATTCCTCTGTGTCGGGGTGACCCGGCGACGTCTCTGCCTCAGACGGCCGACGAGGTGGTAGTCGAGGGCCAGGAGACTGTGATGTTGCCCTGGCTGAGGGTCGAGAGGGGATGGTGGGACGCGATGGCTTCGATGCGGACGATGAGGATGAAGACGAGGATCCAGGTATCTTTCCTCTCAGCGCCGAAAGTTTGCCAGTAAAGCCTCCTGTCAAGCCCCCACCACTACTTGACTTGGATTCCAGACGCGTGGATTGGGCGACTTCACCCGGGTCATCTCTCGGTCGTCTCGGAGGCAGTGAAGGCAACTCAGTTTCACCCCATGCAGGAGCTTTAATGCGACTCTGGCCAACTGAGTTTACAGATGTCGACGAAGCTCCGCGCACCGCACTAGTCGCGGTGCTTGACCGTGATGTGCTGGACAAGACGGAATCCTGCGAAGGTTTGTGTGAGAGCTGTGTAGGTCGGCGGGGTGGTAGAGAAGGCCGAGCTTCGCCTTGCGTTGAACATTCCGTCGACCCAGACCTGACCGGCGGTAGAGGAGGGGCAGGAGGGCGACCTGAACGGCGCGTTGGCAGGGGCGGCGGAGGCTTTTTGGCCTTGATCTCCAGTCTCGGTGACGGAGTCGGTGGCACCGCTGGTCTCTGGGTCGCCAGGGAGGCGGGTTCATTCCCGATTGTCTGAGTATTTGTGACAGTGCCGGTGACCGCGTAGGAGGGGGGTATATTGGCCGATCTGCTACGTTCGGTGGCTGGGCGGATGAATGGATGCGGCGGCTCTGCGCCTGTCGAGGACTGCGCAGCTTGGGATAATTTGAGAGCGGCAATGCGCTCTGAGATCGAGCCTAGCTGCGGTTCTTCGGTCATCGTAAATGCGATGCTCTGTCACCTTCTTGTCTTCACATGGAGTCAGACGTTGAGCACAGACATCGACAAGGCGACCGCCTCCTGAAACCGGGGCTCTTGTAGTACTTGCTACTTGGCAGCTTGGCATGGGTCGAATGAGGGGACGGAGAACACCTGAGTAGATCGTGTGTATCGAAGAGTCTTTACCAAGGTCGGAAAGTAGTCTCTCAAGACAAAAGAGAGCGCGTGAAGGCAAAGGCAATGGTCAAGTGGGGACACATCTGTGAACTTAAGAGTATCACATCCAAATTCGAGACTTCAAAGTACTAGAATAATTAATCTACCCTTGTTGGTTCAGTGTTTGGGGAGTAATCAATCCACCCACGGATCGGCATCCGCCCTCCTGATCCAGCGGGGGCTGGGGAGACTTATCTTATCGGCTACGGCAGCCGGTCCGCTTGACAAGCAGCATGCGTATGAAATGTAACACGGCCACTACGTCAGTACGTTTAGTTTGCTATAGGATTATTGAAGAGACCATCATTCAGACTGGTTCTTGAAAAGAGACACAGAGTGGGTAGCCTACTGGGAGCGTCGTATATCCAGATGATCGGAGCGACCACCTCACTAATTACGATCGTCCCTGCAAGCTCTTATCGGCGTCCCTCGGGGCAGCTGCCCGCGTCGGGTCGATTCAGGCACATCAATGCATCATATAACCTATTTACCCCCAGAATCAAAGAAAAATTTGGAATGACGGAGACCTTCAGCATGGCGCCGTTGACCGGGAGAACTCCCCAGACACCTGAAGATGGCTGTCCAAAGCAAGCATGGCCTTCACTTCGAGTAAGAAAAGCCATGACCAATATTTATCACATAGAGAAGACGATAATGGCTCATCCAGACGAGGCATCATCCCATGAAAACCTCACAAGAGAAAAAAAAAGAACAAAAAATGAAAGTTTGTCAATGATTGCACACGAGGCTGGGAGGGAGCTGGAGCGAAGAAGCCAGGTGACCTGGTCTTGCTCTCCAACTCAAAGCATCAACACTAGCGGCAACAACAGATACAGGAGGTACGAAGGAAAGTGAGGAAAAAGTTACCCTGGTGGGGCAGACCATCGTAAAAGCACAGTTTCAAAATTCAATCGTGGGGCAGCGTACCGTCATTCCAAATAACATCACAGGCGAGTCGATGCGAGACGCGGCCGGCTGTTTCTACACGTTCTTGTAGAGCAACAGCGGCTCGCCAATGTTCTCGATCTCTGGAATGGTACATTTGAGGTCAAAGGCCTTGGCCAGGACAATTTTGAAGATCTGAGAGCCGTTAGCCAAGCCTTTTGAGGATGTAACAAGAGGATCGATGTCAGACCTTTTGCACGTTGATGCTGTGACTTGTGCTGCTGAAGATCAAGCTGGCCTTCATGGCCTTCGCAAATCGTTTGGCCTGGAAAGATGTTCATTTAGCCCCTGAGACACACCCTCACCCCCCCCTCTCCACAGTGACTGTGCATCATCGGAACATACCTGAAGAGATATCTCCTCTTGATCCTCCCGTGGGAAGTTAACGAAATGGTCATACTTGGTACCGACCAGAAACGGAATGGCAGTCTTGTTGAAGCCTCGTCCTTGACGATACCATTCCTTGATTGAATTCAAGGTGCTTTTGCGGGTGAGATCAAACATGAACAGAATGGCCACAGCGTCATTGCAAACCAGCGGTAGCATGTTGACAAATTCGCGCTGGCCACCGAGATCCCAGATCGAAAAGGTGATTTCAGTGTTACGGATGGAGATGGTTTTCTCCATGAAATTGACACCTGGCACGAGTCAGTCGAGCTGGATAATAAGTACGCCACTCAGTTTAGCTCTCACCAAGGGTTTGAATGTAATCCTCATCCCAGCTTCCCTCGACATATTTGACCATCAGACTCGTTTTCCCGATCTGAGCATCTCCCACCATGCCGACCTTGATGACGACGCTATTCTTTGATGACGATGCCGCCTGTCGCTGTGAAGAGTCCGCGGGTTGGGGTTGTTGGGCCACACTTTGTCGCTCAGGACCGCTGGAAAAGCCCGAACCGGGCCGGGGGTGGTGGT